CATATACAATAAAAAGTAAATATTAAAAATAGAAAAAATAATGAGAAAAATAAGAGGTAAAAATGCTATTGTCTTTAATTAATGCTTATTACAAAAAAATATAAAAGTGAAAATATTAAATGATTTTTTTTTTACTGTTAACTTGGTATTTAAACTATGAAGCAATCAAATCTATTGCTTTTTTGAGATTCTATCACTTGCTTTACCTTGATTAATATAAAAGTCAGATTTTGAAAATTTTTATCTTACTTTATTTTGTTGAGAGTCGCGACTGAAAATAATATGCTTGAATAAAGCAATAACTATTATAGTTTCTTTATTTAATATATTAATCATTTTATATGATTAGTATAAAAACATAACATTTGCCAGAACTATAAAGATAATACTAATCTATTAATTGTTCTCGAATAATACATGGAATAATTAATCACTCAAAAATATAATCTTACTAAAATATATAATTCTTACTAATTTTTTTTTTAAAAAAAATTAAAAGATTCTATCATGATATATAAAACTAAAAAAACCCCAAACATATACTCTATTGAGAATTGAACGCCGGACCTGGCTTGAAGTAGTAACAGCGCTTACCACTTAACCTAAATATAAGTAAGGTTAAACAAAATAAAAATGTATATCTCTGACACAAATGTTGGTGCTTGCAAAATATGACATGGTTACTCTATTGCTCTGTCTAATGGTTTTTATGATATGTCTTTAATGTCACTGTACTTTTATAATATATATTATATTAGTAACTAATTTAGTTGAAAAATTAAAATATTATAATAAGCCCAATATATGTTTCTTTTTTTTAAAAATATAGGTTTGAGGATTATGTTGTGCATCTATAAAGAGAGATTACTATGGCAGGACTTTGTGTTAGACAATGGCTGTTTGGTCTAGAACTGGATATTTAAAGATATACTAAAAGTAAGAATTTTTAAAAATTATGTGTGATAGGATAGGGTCATTTTCATTGAAGAAGGTGTTGAAGGTATAAGTATATAGATATCATGTGCATGCGAAAGTAAAAAGACAGTTCTGAGAATAGTAGTATATGTCACTTCAGATATAAAAGAACAGAGTATATGGGTTCCGAGTGCTGAAGTTTGATTATATGGTTATTATTTTTATTTTTATTTTTCAGTAGTGATAAAATAAGAAAGATAGTATGATTGGTATTGTCGACTTTGAACGCAGTGCGAAGTTGTTGTTGGTACAGGGTTGAAAAAAGAAAAGAATAGAGTGGCGATGACTGTCGACTTTGAGAGCAGTGCGAAGTTGTTGTTGGTACAGGGTTGAAAAAAGAAAAGAATAGAGTGGCGATGACTGTCGCCTTTGAACGCAGTGCGAAGTTGTTGTTAGTACAGGGTTGAAAAAAGAAAAGAATAGAGTGGCGATGACTGTCGCCTTTGAACGCAGTGCGAAGTTGTTGTTAGTACAGGGTTGAAAAAAGAAAAGAATAGAGTGGCGATGACTGTCGCCTTTGAACGCAGTGCGAAGTTGTTGTTAGTACAGGGTTGAAAATAGAAAAGAATAGAGTGGCGATGATTGTCGCCTTTGAACGCAGTGCGAAGCTTATAGGGACACGAAGGTTTGACCAAGGGCTTATTTTTTGTTAGAGCCGCATATACAGTGAACAGTCGTCAAAAAGATAAAATAAAGAGTATTTCATTTTTTATTTTATTTTTCAAAAGAGTGCGCTTCCTTTTCGTATTGCGTCGCTTTTGGTCCACTTTGAGTTGCAATACAATATGAATGACGATCCCCAACAGGAATGAAGATCCTCGACTGGGATGGCGGAATGTCGAAAGAAGATTCAAGCCATCGTTAAAAAGATTTTTTTTTGTTTTGGTTACAGCACAGTGAAGGGGTTTTGAATACACAGTCCTCTCTCAACGATTGTAAGTGAGTACCATACGGTCTTTAAACCTTCGTATGGGTAACAGTATCCCTGTCAATGGACCCTGCTATGATTCTTTCACTTGTGGGTACACAAAGGGTGTCTGCACCACCGATCAGTAATACCAGTTTACAAAATAAGACTTTTGTTTGTAGGAAGTCGTAGGCTCTAATTTACCAATGAGCCTCTACACAGTCTACAAGAAGACATAAAAAGCAAACCACCTTATACTCTATATTTTATATTGGTACAGCCAAGATATCGGTGGACAAGCTGGTTTGTGCGTCTATATGTGAAGAAAGACTGGGATGTATACACTGCACATATTCACCTTGGAGACAGGTATTTAACCCCCCAAAAAAAAGAAAAAATGCCCTTATTAATTTAAATTTTCCCATTTTTTTTCTTTTTTACTTCTTTACACCAATTTACTATCATAATTTTAATTAATAAATCTGAAACAAAGACTTCAAGTATGCTATTTAATGGAACACATAAAAAGTATCCTATGTATTTTTCTTTTCTCTTAAAGGGCAATATAAAATATCATGACATATATTACACAGCCGTCCATTTCAAGAGTGTCTGCCAAAGTCATTGCCTTTTTTAGGAAAAAAGATTGTGGCTTTATTTGTACTCCACTCTTTGCTTCCAGCGTATGCTTGTAATGTCAGAATATAGGACGGCTTTCTTCATATAAACGTTTATACAAGCTGATATTCTGTTATGTAGAGCATATATAGATATATAGCTATTCTATAATGTCTCTTATGCTAAATAATATTCTCTTTTCTTTAAAAAAAATATCTCTAACTTTTGAACACTCTAAATTGATGCTTTTTAGAGTGTCTGGTTTATGTATTCAACTAAAAAAAAATTGTACTTTTAGAAACAACTCGTATTTTTGCTATTGGGCATTTAAAGAGCTTATTAAAGTGGTGCAAGTTTCCCAAATTTCAGGGTTCTATGCTTTTTGAGAGTGAAAAAATCGGATATTTTGATCAACATTCGAGTAATTGTAATATAATAAACCTCGAAGAGGTGGATCACAATGTCTCTCACCAGGTTACTTAAAGCCAAAAAAAAACATTGGTTATTTGATTCGATTTTTGATTTTCTATAATTGAAAAGCTATGATTACCATTGGTGTGCATTTGCATATGCTTGTAGAAATCTTAAACAATATCATTTCCAGTACACTCATACTTAATCGACCATAAAAAAGGTTCATTTATACAAAGGCTCCGTGCTTCAAACTAAAATAGTCTCAAGCAAACCAAAGCTAGACTATGAACCTCAAAGTAATAAGTGGAATCATACTATACACTACTGTAGTGCATTATATTGTATTACAAAACAAAAGTTATAAATCAAAGCCTTTAATCCAACAGAGTATTATTTCTAGGTTATTCGTGCATCCAGTTGAGTTTGGTATACAAGCGCAAAATATCAAAAGCACTAGATCCTATAAATCGATAATTAGTAATCGATAGCGTCTTGCTCCCAACCAAACAAAACCTATACGTTCAGTAGCAGTAGATTGTCTCTTTGCTTTCATATTGTGCCGTTAGTCAGTCTGAGCAATAACAGAAAAAAATAGTAAATAAGCAGAGCCTTTAAAAGGTGATTTATATATATGTAATAGCCATTTTTACTAGCTTGATCTATCTGTGACCAGGCTAGCCCAATTGCAAGTACCACTACTTTTTCATGGTGTATAATGTAACTTATATAAATAATTATAATTATCGATAGAATGGTGTATATTTGAACACATATAAATGTAAAGTGTTTCAGGCAGTTGGGTTATGCTGTATTAATTTCTCGGTTGGATTATGATTGGTTTATAAAGTAGTACAAACCAAGATCGATTGACAAACACTAGGCTAGACCCTGTTCTTCTTTTTACTTTTATTTTACTCTAAGAACGATGCTTTAACTTGAGGTACCAACGACTTTCAATAGTCAGGCTGTCAATCCCTTCATACTGAAGCACTGAAAGTACTTTTATTTCAAGAAAGTATTCCTACACTTTGTGTTTATTAACTCAAGACACTGATGAAAAAGCTAGAAGAAAAGTGGAAGTCTTTCACACGAAAGAAAAGAAAAGATATAAGCAGCAATTTTTTTCGGGGTGCTTCTTAAACTAATAAAGTCACAGCATGTGAAACAAACAAACAAGAAAACAAACAAATAAATATACACGACTTTAATTAAAGCTTTATAATCAACACAACTTTACACTTCTTTATTGTAGTTTAACGTCTAGCCGATTAATACTTTGTATATCAGTAATACAGCTAAAATGAACACAGAGGCATATATAGTGTCTCGACAAGTGGCTGTTCAAAAGCATAAGCCTTGTTAACAGAATCACAACAGAAAGTAGAATAAAAAAGGGGATGGGGTCCATAGCAACTGAATAATTTGACATGCATATAGTCCACCAATCCGAAGACATCATTTAAATGTTTTCATGCTAAAGTAAAGTCTGGACCACTATTGCTACTATGCTTCTCTAAGCCCCATGACACATGTGATGCTGCACGGACAGCACGGACCTTATGTGACATAAAAAGAAATAAAACAAAAAAAGAGGCAAAAGAGAAAAAAACAAAAAGTAAAACAAGTGCCTGCACAGCACGTCCTTCAGAATATAAGTGATACTTCTTTAAAACCCAAAACCCATATTTTAAGCGTAGATATTAAATAAAGAAGTAAAATAGTAATAATATATATATGTTGTCAAGGCTAAAAGATAAAAGAAAACCGAAAAAGGAATAAGAAAAAAACCGAATTTTATAATATATTATCAAACTATCATAATAAAAATAATAAAAAAGAACAGCAACTCATGATTAAGACGTCATGAGTTTTATAAAAAAAAAACACCTATCCAAACAGAACGCGTCAAAACAACTCTCTTCCACATACCATTAATACTTTATACACTTCTTTACTGCTCTCTCACAAACTGCTTTAATCAACATAGACGTTAAAGACGAATCATGACCAATACAAATCCATTTTGCTAGTCAAATCTCAGGCTTTTATCATATGTAAAACAGTCAGTAGCAAGATATAAGACAACATGTCAAAACCAGTACACAGCAAAAATGAAATACTGAGGTCCAACACTGGTTTGACCATCAATCCATCCAAAGTCTATTCACGCTCAGAAACAAGAGATAAACTGACAGGACTTACTATAATTCAAGGAGTATATGATATTCATCAAAGACACACATTGTGAAGATTATATTTGTCTAGTCTTTTGACAAACAAGGTCAACGATAAAAAATAAGATCTTCATCCAGGCCTACAGGTATATAAAGGCTCGTTGATTAATCATTGACTGTCTTTGATATTTCTGTAGGGACTTTTCAGGCAAAGTCAAGCAATCAAGAACAGGTTTCCATCCAGAGCCACAGGTACACCAAGACTCGATGAGCATATGCTCATTGTCTTTTGTATGCTTCTAGTGTCTTCCGTCCAGGTCAAGCATCAGAGATCTGATCAGAGTCCACGGTTATCAGGTATATCAAAACTCTATGAGCAGTTACTCATTTGTTTTTGTATATTTGTAGTATCCATTCCATCCAGGTCAAGCTTCAAGGTTCACGTCAAGGTCCATGGTTTTCAGATCAAGGTCCACGGTTTCAGGTATATATAAAAACTCGATGAGCAGTTACTCACTTGTTTTTGTATATTTCTAGTATCCATTCCATCCAGGTCAAGCTTCAAGGTTCAGGTCAAGGTCAACGGGTTCAGGTCGAGGTCGACGGTTTTCAGGTATATCAAAACTCGATGAGCAATTACTCACTTGTTTTTGTATATTCCTAGTATCCATTCCATCCAGGTCAAGCTTCAAGGTTCAGGTCAAGGTCCACGGTTATCAGGTATATCAAAACTCTATGAGCAGTTACTCATTTGTTTTTGTATATTTGTAGTATCCATTTCATCCAGGTCAAGCATCAAGGATCCGATCAGAGTCCACAGTTATCAGGTATATCACAGCTCTATGAGCAGTTACTCATTTGTTTTTATATATTTGTAGTATCCATTCCATCCAGGTCAAGCTTCAAGGTTCAGGTCAAGGTCAACTGGTCTAGGTCAAGGTCCACAGTTTTCAGGTATATCAAAACTCGATGAGCAGTTACTCACTTGTTTTTGTATATTTGTAGTATCCAATCCATCCAGGAAAAGCATCAATGTTCCAATCTCTCAGCTATGGTCATAGGTATAACAAAACGTTATGCACATTTACTTGCATGCTTTTCTCTATTACTAGTGTTCAGCCATCTAGGTCAAGTGTCAAGGTTCCGATTGCCCGCCCATGATTAAAGGTATAAAAAACATTATGGGCATATACCCACTAGTTTTTATATTTATTTCTGGTCTCCAGCCATCTGTGTCAAGCATCAAGGACCCGATCGCCCGTCCATGGTTATAAGTATAAAAAACATTATCAGTATACACTCACTAGTTTTATCTATTTCTAGTGTTCAGTCGTCCAGGTCTAGCAACAAGGTTTTGATCGGCCGTCCATGGTGATATGTATAACAAAGCGATATGGGCATATACTTTCTAGCTTTAATATATTTTTAGTGTTCAGTCATCCGGATGAAGCGTCAAGGACCCAATCGCACGTCCATGGTTATATATATAAAAAAAATTGGTATATACTCACTAGTTTTGATTTAGTTCTAGTCTCCAACCATCTGGTCAAACATTAAGGTTCTGATCTCCCAGCCAAGGTTATAGGTATAACAAAACGTTATGGGCATATACTCACTAGTTTTAATATATGTCTAGTGTTCAGTCATCTAGGACAAGCATCAAGGGTCTGATAGCCCGTCTATAGTTATAGGTATATAAAAACATTATGGGCATATACTCACTAGCTTTAATATATTTCTAATGTTCAGTTATTCATGTCAAGCATCAAGGTTCCAATCACCCGTTCATGGTTATAGATATAACAAATCGTTATTGTCATTTACTCACTTGTTTTGATATTTATTTCTAGCCTCCAGCCATTCAGATCAAGCGTCAAGGACCTGATCACCCCTCCATGGTCATAAGTATAGAACAACATTATGGGCATATACTCACTAGCTGTAATATACTTCTTGTGTTCAGTCGTCCAGGTCAAGCATCAAGATTCTGATCTCCCCGCCATGGGTATAGATATAAAAAAACATTATGGGCAAATACTCACTAGATTTAATATATCTCCAGTCTCCAGCTATCCGGATCAAGCATCAAGATTCCAATCTCCCCGCCATGGGTATAGGTATAAAAAAACATTATGGGCAAATACTCACTAGATTTAATATATCTCCAGTCTCCAGCTATCCAGGTCAAGCATCAAGATTCCGATCTCCCCGCCATGGGTATAGATATAAAAAGCATTATGGGCATATACTCATTATTTTAATCTAGTTCTAGTCTCCAGCCATCCAGGTCGAGCTTCAAGGTGCTTATCTCCCATTATATGGTTATAGGTATAACAAAAATCGATGACCAATCACACTTGGCTTTATTTATTTCTAGTGTTGAATCCACCAAGATCATGCTTCACGGATCTGGATTCAGTCCGTGACTATAGGTATACAAAAACTCGATGAGCAATTACTCATTGGATTTTATATATTTCTAGTGTCTACTCATCCATGGCAATTATCAGGATCCGATTTTCATGAATTGTTATAGCTAACCAAGTTTCCTTTAAACCTTTACTTAAAACAAACTATACTCTTTATTTATACTTTCTTTTGATGGCAAAGAACGATGATCAAATATACATCTATTATGGAAGGTATACAAGTTGTTCTTGGCCATTACTAACCTAGAAGTATATATGACTATTGTTTTTACTCTCCAGGCCAAACAGCAAGGATCAAAACTCAAATTTGGGCTACAGGTAAACAAGTCTTCTTGAGCTTTTACTTACTGTCATTTATATATTTCTAGTGTTTTTTTCCTTAAAGTTCAAATATCAAAGATCTGATTTCAAATCAAGGTTACGGGTACACACTTTTCTCTCTGTCTTTACATGCTTTCTTTTGTATTGGCCTAGTGTGTTTACGATCTGGCTACACAATGAAAATTTTGTTTTCCTTCCAGTGCGACAGGTATATACATCTAGTTCGGCCTTTAGTTACTGTTGGCTTTATCTCTCTACTGGCTTCACAGTCCAAGCCAGCCATCATGGATCCTATATCCGTCCAGTGTTACAGGTATACACTTCTCTTTGGGATTTTACTTACTGTCGGTTTTAATTTTCTACTGTCCTTAAAGTCAAGGCCAACGACCAATCATCTGGTATCCGCCAAGAATTACAGATATAAAAATGCTATTGGGCCGTTACTTATAATTGTTTTTGTTTCTCTAGTGTCCTTGCAGTCAAGGGTAACGAGCAAGAACCTGGTCTCCATATTGGGATATAGTGTTACACATCTCTTTGATTTTTGACTTGCTGCAAACTGTATTTTTTCTCGTGACTTTACAGTCAAATTCAACACTCAAGGATCCGGTTTCCATCAAGTTTTACAGGTATACAAATCTGACAAGTGCTTTTATTTAATGTGTCTTTTTTTTTGTCAAGTGCCTTTACTGTCTATGCCAATGATTCCGAATCCAAGCCCTATCCAGAGTGACAGGTATACAAATATGTTTGCGTCTTTACTAACTTTTAGTTTTATATGTCTAGTGCCTATATGGTTTAGGCCGAAGAACTAGGACTTGATATTCATCCAGACTTGCAGATATATATTTTTCGTTGGGCCGTTGATTATTGGCTTTTTTTATCCGTCTATTGTTTTTACTGTCAAGGGCAACCATCAAGGATTCGATCTCCATCCAGTATGACAGGTATACACTTTTCTTTGGGTTTCTACTTATCGCTTGTTTTTTTTTGTCTAGTGTTTTCACCGCCCAGGTCGAAGAACAAGGATTTCTTCTTCATCCACGGTTACAGGTATACAATTCTCTTTTAGCCTTTGCATAACGCTTGTTTGATTTTTCTAATTTCATTAATGTCTATGCTAAATAATAAGCATCTACTCTCCATCTAAGGCCATAGGTTTAAAAAATATTTTTAAGTATTATTTTACTATTTATTAATTAATTAATTATTATTTTTTAATTTTACACAGCCAAGGCCAATCGATCCAGGTTTACTATCCTCTAGGGTAACAAGTATATGTACATACCTGATCGTTTACTTACTGCTTGTTGTTTCGAGTAATTTTTATTTAGTCAAACTGAATTACCAAAGTTTTACTATCTACCTAGTGCCCGAGGTATACAGGTCTCATTTAGTACTCACGTATCACTTCTTATTCTGTCTAGCTTTTTTATAGTTTAAGCCAGCAATCGGGTTTTTAATCTCCATTAAGGATTAAAGGTATACATGACTATGTGAACCTTTACTTACTAGCTATTATATTTTCTAGTCTTTTTACAGGAAAGGCCCACAATTAATATGAGTTGTTTATCCGGGGGGGACAGGTATACAAATCTGCCAAAAAATCTACTTACTATATATTTGCATAATGTTTTTACAGCCGAAGCCAACGATCAAAGCTTTGATATTCTTTTGGGCTCACAGGTATAAAAGTCTCTTTGACTTTTTAGGTACTATTAGTTGTTTTGTTCTAACCCTTTCTTATCCGTAGCAAGCGTTCAATGCTCAGCTCTACATCAAAGGTCGCAGGTATACAAGAATCTTTAAGCAATTTACTAAAAATTAGATTTTCCTAGCGTTTACATAGTCAAGACAAAATGATCATGTTCTTTCTATCCATTCAAGATTCTAGGTACACACGCACATTTTAGCATTTATTCTTCACTGGTTGAATCTTTTTAATCTTTGACAGTCCATGCCGAGAATCAAGGTTGTGCTTCAAAAAATAGGGTTAAGGTATACATGCCTTTTTAAGCATTTATTTACTACTAGTTGCTTTATTCAGACTTTATACAGTCGAGACCAAAGATCAAGAGCCTGATTTCCGCATAGATTTACAGGGATACAAGTGGCTTTCTTTACTCATTAACATATTGATAGCTGTTTGAAGCAGTCTTTTTACAGTTCAATTCAACAGTCAAGGTTCAAATCCCCATCAAAAATCATTGATATACTGCCACTTTTTAGTATTTACTTACTGCCAATTGTGTTTCTTTAGTCTACTCACAGAAAAGGTCAACAATCAAGATGCCACTCTCCTTCTTGGATGTTAGGTATACCAGTATCTTTGGGTATTTACCTATTACCAGCTTTAGTTCGGTAGTCTTTTCACAATTGAGGCCAACACCCAAGATTCCATAGTTCATGCAGAGTTACTGGTATATATACCTCTTTGAGCATTTGCTTGGTGTCTGCTATATTTGTCTAGTCTTTTCATAGTCAAGGCTACTAATTGAGATTCCGCTGCTCATCTAGGGTAAAAGGTATATATGCTTTTTTTTTAATAGTTAATCATTGCTTGTTGAAATTGTCTAATAATTTTACAGTCAACGCTGATGATCAAGTTTCTGCTATTCGTCGAGGTAACAGGCGTACACCCTCCTTTGAATATCTTTCTGTCATCCATCATATTTATCTAGTCATACCATAGTCTACACCAAGGTTCAAGAGTTTAGTCTCCACCCAGGTTCACAGACATTCAAGTATAATTACCCTTTTAGGACTGCCGGCTGCTATTGCCTATTGCTTTTAATATATAGGTCAAGGGATAAATTTCCTACTCTCAACCATGAGCCACAGGTATCACCGTTTATTTTGAACATTTATTTATTATCAATTACATTTGATTAGTATTTTAAATCCGAGTCCAACGATCAAGCTTCAGCTTTCCGGGAAGGGTTGAAGATATCCATGTATCTTTGATTTTTTTTAATATCGACTGAATTTCTCTGGCGTTTGCACATTCAAGTCCATTGATCAAGTCTTTGGTCATTATCAAGTTTCCACTCAACATTATTGGGTAAAGATATATAAGATTCTTAGATTACTTTTTTACAGCCAATGACATTTATCAAGCGTTTTTAGGGTCCTGGTCAACGATTAAGATCCTGCTATTAATTCAACGTCTTAGATATATAAGTGTATTTAAATATTACTTTACTACTGATTCTATCTATTTAATCTTTTTTTTTCTTTTTCTTTTTTACATTCTATGCTAGCCCTCACGGCTCTAGTCTCCATCAAGGCTTATAGACATACAAGGTTTTTTTATTGGAATATGTTCTTACTATCAGTTTTAATTTTTCTAGTAATTTCACAGTTCATACCAACGATTAGGCGTCCGATTTCCATCCAGGGCTACAGGCATACATCTTTATTACACCATTTACTTACAGCCTGTTTTATATGTCCAGAATCTTCACAGCTCATGTCAACAGTCACGGTTTTGACCTACATCTCCAACCATAGGTATATATATATTTCCAAGAATTTACTTACTATTAGGTGTATTTTTCTAGTGTTTTCATAGTAAAGACCAACGATTAATATTCCGACATTTTCCTACAGTCATAGACATACAAGTCTCTTTGAGCCTTTAGTTACTTTAAGCTGTATATTCCCATACTTTTTATGGCAAAGACCAGCGATCAAGGTTTCACTCTCCATAAAAATCCTCAGGTATACAAAGCTCTTTAAATATTTTCTTACTATCAATTAGATTATTCTAGTGTTTACACAGTCAAAGCCAAACTATAAAGCCTCTGTTGCCCGGGCAAGTTCTCCAGTATATATATATATATATTGAGCATCTACTTACTGATTGTTGTTTTTAGTTATCTTGACATAGTCAAAACCAACGATTAAGGTTTCACCATACATCCAGGGTATGAGATACACATGTCTCGTTTAGTATTTAGCTATCAACTATTATTTTGTCTAGCTTTTTTTTTATATATTTTAAGCCAACGATCAAGTTTTGAGTATTTATTCATGATCACAGGTATATATTTCTTTTTGAACATATACTTATTGTTGGCTTTCTTTTTTTAGTCTATTTACCACCAGGGCGAACGATCAATATTCCGCTCCCCATTTTGGGCTATATGTATACATGACTCTTTAAGCAGTTAATACTTGTCGCTTTTATTTGTCTAGTCTTTTAATCGCCAAGTCCAAAATTTATGGCTCTGCTCTACATCATGCGCCGTAGGTATACAAGTCTCTTTGTGAATCTATTCACTGATGGTTATAAATACTTATAATTTCACAGTTGGTGTCAAAGATCATTGTTTAACTCTTATTCATATGTTACAGGTATACATTGTTTAGTTGCCCATTTTTCTTTGAATGATGCTTGTATTTGCTTATTTTTTTTTCTCTTCGTAGTTTAGGTCAATTATCATGGTTCTATTCTTTATTAAGAATTAAAGACATAGGAGGGGTTTTTAAAATTTTCTCACTGAAAATTGTATTTACTAATTTTTTTTACAGCCGATACCAGGTATCAGTATTGTTCTGGGTAGTACTGAAAATGGGCAATGAGATACTGCACGAATCCTGGACCCCCATGGATGCTCGTCAAAAAGAGTTTGTATTCCAACATAATGCACTTTCCTCATACACCTTGTGGCAATCCTGGCACAAAACATATTTATGAACGCTTTTGTTCATGGATGAAAAATCCGTTTTGTGTTTGAGGCCAGAAATGTTTGATGGCAATTGTAAATTCTTCTCGTAAGTTGTCTAGAGCTTATTGATGAACTTTATCAGGATGACAGTGCCTTTGTTGACCACACAGTGGGGAGCTAACATTACCACAAAAGTAGTAATGATCCTGTGCACTGGGTTCTCAGGCATATCGGGGGGGGGGGGGGGGGGGGGGGCAAAAGGATCTATTGTAAAAAACCAAAAAAAAATCATCTCCCTTTTTTTCAAATTTTTCTTTCTTCCATAGCACAACACCAACCTTCATTAACAAATTCCTCGACCTCCACCTTAACAACATCTTCATTATTGTTTTCTTTGTTTTCATCGCCATTGTCTTTGCTGTTGTGAATCTCCTCATTCGTAACTGGAACATTCTCATCGTCAGACACTGGGGTTCCTTCTCAAGCAAGTAAGTTGGTCTGACCACACTCTTCTTCCGTGGTTCTGGATTGACATGTTTAAATGGCTGTATTTAGAATATGTTACATAATTACGCTCTATTATTTTTATTTAAATAAATATTTCCTACGTTCAACATCAACCTCCATCGAATTACTATGGGCAGAAGATTCTGTTAAAACATGTTATTTTTTGAACTACAAAAAAAGTAGAATATAATAGAATAATACTACAAACTGCGTACCACTTTCACATCTTATAGCATCTAATCTTGCTCTTTTGTTATGGCGCTGAGCAGTTCTTCCGGCTACAAAACTATAGACTAGTTCGTTCTGACTACATCCAGCGCAATAGCACTTTTTATTGTAAGGTTGAGGGGTTGAGAACATTGTGTTTTTTGTTAAAAAAATTGAGAAAAAGGAAACAGGTGCTACATGTACTTTATTCACAAAGTCTTTATAATAATAAATAGAATAACTTTTGTTGCTTGTTATATCCGAGCCAATAGAATACAGTAAAGCTGTGTTTTCAACTTGTGAACATGGAAAACTATCCCACATTTACAATTGTTATCAAACAACTGTGCGCATTGTAATTTCCACCCTTTTTTTCAGTGTGATCCGTTCTCAAACACAAGCAGTTATGACAGCTACGCCATTGAATATTGATGAGGGTACCTTCTCAATATCTAACCATCCAATTGCTAGCATGGTGCAGAGCTACATCCATATGCAGCCTGAAGTAGAGTATGTTTTGTCTTCAGTCGTGGAAGAGAAAGCTCGTAGACACCTTTCGTATAAAATTCACAGCGCAAAATCTATGTCGGAAAAGTTAGCTGGGCGTAATCGGTTTTCTCGTTGTCGAACAAGAAAGATAAGAGTAAGTATAATCCACGGTTTTTGTTTAAATAATTTTAACATTTTTTTTTTCTTTTTACAAAGAAGTGTCATTTTTTTTATTTAGAATTCCTAATTGTTGATATTATAACACAGATCAAAGAATACTTTAGCAAGTTAAAAGGACGGAGAAATGATCAAAAAGAATAAAGGTCATTAGCTTTTCCAAGTGTCCAGCTATTCCAAGAAACGTCAAACTTTTGAAGGAGAGAAAGGTGCGTGTTGTTGCATGGAATAGCACACGGCATAATAAAAAAAGTACAGAGTATATAGTATTTTATTGATTTTTATTCATTGTTTTGAAAGATGTGGGTTGAATCGATAAAAGATGATGCGGTAGTAATGTCGAGATGGGAAGTAATAAATAAATAGTTATTTTATTTTATTTTACTTTATTTTACAGCCGATTAATGAAATATATATATATACAAAACAATTATTTAATTATACAACCTTGATTGTTTTATCCACGGTTTTTTTTCGTTGGAAATTGTAATATCGCTCTCTGTAAGTTTATTTTGATAAAAGCTAAGAAAATGGTGGGCATTGGGTATTAAATATACAGGTATTTTGTCTTTCATACTTTTGATAAAAACAATAAAAATAAATAACGGTTTTTACTATTCGTTGATAATAGAATTCAATATAATTTTAAATATTTGATAAAGAAGTAATGCTAAAACAAAAGAAAAATAGAGAGATAAATAAAGGCAAACCCTTTCGCAGTCAAAAAAAACTCTTACTATAATTATTTATATTAGTAATATAAATCATTCTATTTTTTTTCGTGACTACTTTTCTAGGCAGTGGGATGACTAGGCGCTTTTGGATCCCACCCTGGATGTTGTGCATAGTCAACGCAAAATACGAATGCAGACGATGCACCGGAATGATGCACGCAATACTCTTCTTAATAAACCCACTCACCCACAAATTCAGACCTTACCCAACTAACGGCTTAATTCTGACAGAATGGCATGTCGCAAATCTTTTTAAAAAACCAAACGTTGACACTTTTGATTCTACCAATCTTGATGACAAGTAAATATGTACTCAATCTGACCAGGGAATTTAGAGATATCGTCAACTATCCTACCAAAAAAAACATAACCCGCACAATTGAGCTGCGATATTTCTTCTGTTCACTAAAAAACTCCTGGCCAAGCAACGAAATATTCTTCATCTTCTGAATGCAAATGTTTACCAGCACATTCTCACCAAGTGAAATACTCCCCACGCCGCAGAAAGAAAAGTATTCTGGTAAGCCTTGACATAGAATTTGAATAGCTATTAAGAGTAATCATACTTCATCGTATTCAAATTTTGTAACTTCAATGGCATGGTAGTTGGTGGCAACGTCTTAGTTCCGATTACATTGTACCATAGGCTGTTGATGACTTGCTGGAACATTGGGAGGTCGAATGGCAATGCAGGAGGATAATCATTATCAATACACTGAAGACACAGTAGATGAGATTCAGATAGCACTTGCGCGACGCCTTAGGAAAATATTATTATACGCAGCAGAAGATTAATGGAATACACAGGAAGAAAAGTGTCAGTGAACGCATTCTCCGGAAAAACGCTCATTACTGTCACCTCTAGACCATTACGGTAGTTTGTCTTAATGTTTTTTTAACTTATACTTGTGTATCTTAAGGTTATACATCCAAAATGTAAAGACCAGACCAAAGTCAAGCATCAACTCACACAAATGCATATTTGGTGTGCTACTCCTTTTTTTTGTAAATACTCTGACATTACTCCCCAAATTTACCAAGGGGCTGGCCTGCGTAGTCTATATGTAAGTACTTGTTCAATGGACCTTTCAACTTTCGGCATGTCTTGGCAAGATTGGTCTAGTTATTGTAATCACTTTTGGGCAAAAACTCTTTCAACACCACCAGAAAATGCACCAGACACAACAATCGCCACTCACCTGCCTTCATATATAGGAACTAAGGCGCGACTTTTTCGAATAAGACGGTATATTCAGGAGGAAGAGGAATATCATCAGCAAAGCATTGTATACGAGCAATAACAGCAGCGGAAAAATACAAAGGTATTTCAAACACTGGCCATACGGTTCACTATCACAAGAAATATACTGTGCGTGAGATCAACAATCATGTAAGCGATGCAACTTTGAAAACTGCATGCCGTTCTGCTTCTCCAAATTTTCTCTTTCTACATCTGATTCTGTGCAAAACCACATATTGTCATATATGGAAATCATCTCTTCTGTCCGTGATTCCCAGTTTTCATTGACATGCCAAACGTAATTGATCTTACTTGATGCAGTAATTAAGGGGATATATCATTTGAATTTATGACAGCCATATGTGTTTACATGTCATGTTCTGTGAATCCGGCAGTATTTCTAGCAGCAGATATCTTGGAAGCGACATACATGATAGCAGTATAGACAGTAGTACCATTAGGGAACTTGGTAGTCCTCACAGCTATACTACCATAACAGTCTACCATCCCATCAACATATGTTTCCAGAAATATGTCCATCTAGTCGTCCTCTACTTCCTTTGGACCAGGCATGACATCAACGAGGATAATATTTTCTGGTCTCATTTGGTCTTCCTTGGGGAAATTGCTGATAAGTAAGTACAAAGCACCACCTGTATAAATCCGTCCTTCAAACAGCTTAAACCAATATACATTCAATGTCAACATGAGAGAATTGGCATGGTTTACAAAGGTCCCGTCGGCTTCACCGAGCATATCAGTCTAAATTGCATCATCGTATACGTCCGTCATCATACTTTCTATTGTTTTGCTTGACCCCTAGTGCACAATTTACTCATCTAACTTGACTTTGTGGAAATGTTGTGACGAGATATTTTCTCAGTAAGCTGTAAGGAAATACCATGAGAGGGACTGGATTCTCAATTGCTGGTCTGGCATACAGGGAATTACTGGCATAGATAGATGGAGCGGAATGTGCTTCTCGGAGAAACAGTTGGATTGATGATACCCTGGTAAGTATATGACATCACGTTTGATACAGATGGTGTACTTGAAGACGGTTTTGTCATAAGATCGAATCCAGACATTATTTTCAATACATCAACGGTGACATATGGATCAGTATCCTTCTCATAGATAACAAGAAAGTATTGGAATAATTTCAGTGTTGTAGATCCTTCTTGCTTGAGCCAAGCAAAATGCTTGAAATATAACACCAAATAGAGCTATTAGTTGAGTGACTTGATGAATGTCATCCATTTTCAAACATAGGATTACAAAAAGGCAAGTGTTATGATAAGTATCATTATTATCTGTAATATGATTTATGTATATTTCTTTGTTCAATAGGTGCATACCTGAATCCATCGTATCTTTACATACTATGACACCAACAATGTCAGCTTCATTCTCATCGTTGGACTCCTCACTTTAATCCGGATAGTTATTGTCAAATGGTGATAGTGGTGTCTCAGTATCATACTCTTCTTCGAATTGAAAAGGTTTGTCTTCTCTCAAAAAAAAATACTATGTGTGGCGGTTTCAGGAAATCTAAAAGAAGTACCTTTATCTAAAATAATAAAAATAAAAATGCAATATGTTTTATACAATTTTTTTTGGTCTTGGTTATTGAGATATATCAGTCTATTATCAATGTAATTAACTCTACTAAGATTATGGTCTCTATTAGTAATGTTGTGGTGGTTGAAGTTGAAGAAGTTTTTAAGAGGAAGAATTGAAGATTTGAAATTAGGAACGAAGATTCGTGAGAACTTGTGTAGGTTTTGTTTATTGAGAAAGATTTTGTATCAAAGTTTGACCAGGTTCCTACACTGAACTACTACTGCTATTTATATTATTTTGGATTGGGAAAATTATATGACTGGGGTCAGGTAATCGATCCTATCTGAGCCTTAATCAGAGCAACGTGATCTTGGGATAATTAATGTATGATTAATTATATAAATGTGTGTAGTCCCAATGAAGTATTAACATCGAAAGTAAATGTGTTTATGAGTTATAATTATGCTTATAATAATCCACTGATGTATCCCATATTATGGTGATATCATCATATGAAATATAATCACTATCATGCATGCTAAACCTGTGTGTTAAATAATAAAGTAATCGGTAGACACCTTTGACTGGAATAGCTGAGGCCTTATATTATTTCCTTCAGACTTATTCTCAATTACAGCAGTAGTCAATACTCATTTACAACAAGTAAGAATTACAAATTAAATTCTATATATCCGTTTTAATATAATGACAATAAGGGTTTTACTAGCTATTGATGCTTGACGATTCGTGGCAGCAATGCTTCAACTACTATTCAAATAATGTTCAATATAAAAGTACAACACTTGTTGGGTGCCTTTAATATTTTTGAGTAAAATACTTTCGGGTGTAATAATCTTGATTAAAATACCCGTGAGTAAGATTGATTATAATATTATAAATATCATTATTAATTGTACATCTAGCACACTAATTGTTTGTAAGTTTCGGTCAAGTCTCGACAGTCAATCATCTGATATTTTTGTTAGAGCAACCCTTTCAATTTCGATATTTAACAAAAAAAGGCGTTGGTATATATATATATGTATATATATAATATTAATTAACACAGTACGGAAATACACGATAATCATAATTAAAACATGAGTTTAAAGTAGGCAGGGAAAGTATGCCAAAGTACATCACTAAGTACGCATTTTACTCTCTCGTAATGATATAGCTCTCAATACCAGTGTGTTTCGTTTTATATTACCAACCCAAGATATTATAATGGACGCCACAAGTACTTTGTAACTCTAATGTCTTGAATTCAAAAAATCAAATAGTAACCACGATAGTACTCGACATAACCGTGTATATATTTGACAGTATAGAAATACTTATTTGTTTTTTTCTATCATTATTTACTCTTTATATTAACTTATTTTATTAACAGCTTCTATTGTATTTAATTTTAAAGAAGAAGAAAACAGAGTACTTGTATGTGATACCCAGAGTCAGATATACTTGACGTCTTCAAGAAATTATACTTATATAGTCGAATATTGTTTTCATGCTAATTGAGCCTCCACAGTTCTAATTAAAGCAAGAAATATTATCTTTGTTTTCAAATAGGCTCTTGTAGAGAATGGTAAATGTAATTGCGAAAATATTTACAAGGCAATTAGCAAGAAAAGTTTCATATTTATTTTACAGTTTTCGATGCACCCGAGTTGGTCGATATACTTTACATTCAAGTGGCTGCTGAAGAAAAAGAAAAAGAAAAAGAAAGGCATATTTTTATACTAATGTGTCTTACATGACATGGAAATAAGCACTGGTGCAAATCATTAGGAGTACTGCTACTAAACTTTTCGACTAGTTGGCGGATGGGTATACATAAGAAATTATTGGTTTTGGTCATAAATAAATGAATATGGTACATCAAAGGATACCATTCTGCGCACACACCCGCACTCATGCAAAACAATCGGATCCAGTACATAATCAAATAACACTGGACTTATAGGTTTTTATATTTCTTACCATTTTATCATTTTTCATGAAAATAATTAAACTGCCAACACAAAGCAACTGCCGAAAAAAACAAAATAATATTAGTACAGTTGCATCTAACCAAAACTCATATACCACTACAGTCCTCATCGTCCACCATAATAGCAACGATTTTGCTAATATTGAAAGGCAATTAGTTATTCCCTTCTTTTATATTGTTTATCCACGCACACAAACGCCAACTGTACGAAGAATTAATTTGAGTTGGGTGCAATTTTAGACAATCCAATTTCTTTGTCATTCTTTCTTTCTTTCTTTCTTTTTAAATTCAGTGCAATAGATCTCTGATTCCTAAAAAAGGATTAGAGAACACATAGAAACACCTATAGAAACAGATGATTTTTTAACATCAAGCAAAATACATCGACTCTTGTCCAGGGTGAAAAAACGCGTGATGAAGGATACAGATGAAGTATAGAATAACAATAATGAGAATAAAAAATGGTTGATACCTTTGGTGTGCGGGATGAGGCCAAGGTAATTTGATTGACAATAAACGTGAATGAGAAAATATTTGGGAGTTATTGGAGTCTCACTTTGACCTCCATGTGGTCGATGGTTTTAACCTCTTAAAATACATTACCATTGTTGTATAACTTATTTATTTTTATTATTGTTTTGTAATCGTTCCAAATTCTATCTACACAAAGAATCAAAATGGGGAAAAACATCGTTTAATTGTTGTGGCTCAAAATTTAAATATTATTTATTTATTTATTAAGCTATGTCATACGGGGAATAAGCCAATCGTCTACCTCTCTTGCGATGCGTACTGCCTGTTCATACATATTTTCCCAGGGGTGGAAAAATCTTATACTTTACTTCCTTGTAATTTTATGATTTTCTGGTTCTCTTCCTTTTTAAAAAAAAACCGATTGACTTTCTGTGGTGAAACTACTTATTCTTAAGTTCTTTACAAAACAGGTTTAACTTATTGTGCCATCACGGATACTATTATCACTCAAAATAAACTCTTGTCACAATAAAAATTCATATTAGTTAAGAATATTGTGTCTTATTTTTTGAACCATTGTAATCACTGTGAATTATCCCAAGCATATATAATGGATAAAAGCCCTTTATTTGTAAACAAAAACTTGCCTCACCAATAAATTGGCTTTCGTTTCTGGTATGTAATGCACCTTTATCATTACTCAATCTAACATGAAATGGAAGCTTTTCTTTTGTACATATGCTTTCTACAATAGCCATAAGTACAGACGCTATTCTTACCACCTTTTTCTCATGAGTATTAAACCTTTACAGTAAAAGTATATTTTTCGATCAAGGTATATACCAACAAACGAAAATTAGTTATCATCACTGCACACGCCTACTCTTCTTATTATTCACTGTTTCAAATATATATATATCGATTATTCCTATTTTTGCCAATATATACTACAGGGAGCCTAAAAAATATATAAAATAAAAAATCATAATAATGTGGCTTTATCATACAAAGAGAATGCGAGTAATTGTTTTCTAGTTGATACATATCAAAACTTGCTCGTGGTCTTGGTGAAAGCTTGCGCTTTTAACAAATATAATATATTTTTGGAGATGTTCTTGGTAAAATACGTGTGTGCATACATGTGCGCATGTGTATGATTGTAGTAATTTCAATTGTAACTTTCATGGCAAGTTAATGTGAATATGTATGGTTATTGAAAGAGATGCACACAGAAGAAAAATAAAATAAATAAATAAATAAATAAATAAGAGTATTATTTTTGTTTATTCTGCTTGAAAAAACAACCCCCCATCCTCATTCCTCAAGTGGAATCATTGCACCAATGACTGCATTGAAAATATTTTTTTACAACTTTTCAACCTCTTCACAAAAAATATAAAGAATATCAAATATATATATATATACCTCTTATAATTGAGATTATTTGAACAATCTGTCGCCTCGGTTAAAGGGCACGCAAGATACCAAAAAATAAATAAATAAATAAAAAATATTGGCTTCAGTCGGCATTTATAATATTATTTTTTTTTTTTATTTTTTTTGAGAAATCAATATTTATTCAAAAAATAAAATTAATATAATTCTACTTTTCTCGACTTCTACTGATTGTATTTGTACGCTTCTTGGCTCTATCGATAGCTAATGACGAATAGTAACTGAAAAGTGGTATTAGAGGCGCATTGTCGGTCTTTGGAATTTTTCGGAGTTTGAAGCATGCTACGATTAGATGGTCGCCGGGATTTGGTATAGTGCGCAGGTGGGTAAAAATTAAAATAAATCAAATATTTCCACCCTAGCCGAATATCATATATATATTAAAAAAAATAGAATTTATCTAAAAAAATTAATATGTTTATTCACAATTTTTTTGAAATGCTAATTTATTATAAATATAATAAAAGCATTAAAATAAAATATAAATAAATAAAAAACAAAATAATAAAAATAATAAAAAAATAATAAAAAAAAAATAAAAAAAAAAAAAACAAAATAAAAAAAAATAATAATAAAAAATAAGAAAAAAATATAAAAACAAAAATATAAAAAAAAAATAAAAATAATAATAATAAAAAATTAAAAAAAAAAAAAAAATGTTCATTTTATACTTCAGCTAAATAGTTTATTTTATATTAATTTTTTCGTTTGCTATACTATAATAAAAAATATACTCTAGAACTATAATATCTCTATTTATATTTCATTTCTTGAGATTTTAACTTTTATAATAGTCTTATTATAACAAGCAATCATAAACCTTCCCTTAATATGTAAACAGACTTTTCCTTTACATCTCTTTAATTTAATAAACAAATTATTAAAAGAAGAAAACTTATAACAGTAGTATTATACTGTTGTTTTATTACAAAAAAAACTGTCAGACATTATTTTGATGAATCCGTACAATCTGAAAATAATTAACCACAATACCTTCTTATGCGCAGTAATATCTTCCTGAGCATTAACCAAAGTATAATGACTTTCCTTTTATTTAAATATAATATAATAGCTAATTCAGATAATGCGCAGTATTACTTTAGAAAACTATATATGACAATTCAATTCATATCCATAAAAAGTATCTTTTATCCTATCTTTGATTTTACATATACTCCTTGATTCCCAGTTGGTTTGACCTTTTGACTTTACTATAGTAAAAGGAAGACCAACCCAGATCGGGAACAACAAAACGACGCAAAAAAATCGAAATAAAAGAATGCTACCATGTAGGGTCGAACAGGGGTGCTCAGAACCAAAACAAAGTGATAACACTTGAGCTATGCAGCAACATTTAAACATTTTTCATTAAAATCAAAATATTACCGTTGCCATCAAACATATATATATATAAAGATTATAAAAGAGTTGTGAATATATATAAAATTAAAGATTAAATATGATTAGAGTATGTAACTTATATTTGACGAGATGATTGGATATGACTTGGATATTGACAAGTGTGAATATATATAATGTGATAGATCTAATGGTATTGACTAATATCAGAGACAGATAAGATATTATAGACTAATATTAGTATTAAATCAAATGTTATTGGCTAATATTGATTATATATTACATTTTATTAACTTATATAAGTAGTAAATTGGATGTGATAAATATATATATATAATACAGATTGACTGTTATTGATTTACATATATATCAGATCAGATATCATTTATTTATATATATACTAGATTGGTAGTATTCAGCTTATATATATATGAGATTGACTGTTATCCACTTATATATATATCAGATTGGCTGTAATCCACTTATATATATATCAGACTGGATATCATATGTTTATATATAATGCAAATCACCTGTCATTAGCTTATATATATGCAATTGGCGGACAACAGCTTATATATATACCCAATTGGCAGTCAACAGCTTATATATATATACCCAATTGGCAGTCAACAGCTTATATATATACCAGATCGACTATCATCAGCTTATATATATATCAGATCGGCTGTGATCCACTTATATATATATATCAGATTAGATATCATATGTTTATATATAGTGCAGATCATCTGTCATCAGCTTATATATACCCAATTAGTGGACAACAGCTTATATATATATCAGATCAACTACTGGTTTTATCCATTCAATTGGCGCCTATTTCCATCTAATTAGCATCCGTTTCCATCTAATTAGAACCCATTGACATCTGATTGGCTTCCATAGAAATTGAATTTGCGTCCATTACCAACTGAATTGGCTCCCATTTCCATCTGAATTTGCTCCCATTGCCATCTGAATTTGCTCCCCCCCTTTTACTATTGGCAGAAGGGTACATGGCACTCAAATTTTTTATCCTTATGGCTTACAATTTTTTTATATAACCTTAGTATTTTTTTTTGTAAACGTCGTATTTTTTTTATATAACTGCCATATTTTTTACATAAGTGCCAAACGCCTAATGTAATAGCACTTCAATATATGTAGATCTTTCTACAAAGATATGTCATAGAAAATATCTATAGAGAGAACTAACAGAATATGCAAACTTTTCTCTAGATTACTTTGTTAAAGTTAAATACCTTACTGCAGTTATAAGATAATAAAGCAAGTATCTCATTATAATAATTATGTTAAAATTGAAAATGCAATGATATTATTTGTATTCTTTCTTTATTGCAGAGTAAGTTTCGAATAAAAGATTCATTTTTTCGTCACTTGTAGCCTCCTTGTTGTTTTTAATGAAAAAAACAACTGGAGACTTTCTCCACTTCAAAATATAGCCACCAGCAGTTGTTTGTTTCATATTTACTATCTTGCTGGCTTTTTTGATAGTTAATCCCCTTATGAAGTAGAGATAAAGAAGCTTTTTTATATCTTTATCAGTAGGCTTTTGATATTGCCCTCTACTTTTTTTGGGGGTTTCGTCTGTTGTTGACGGGGCAGAACTTTTTGGATCTTCTGGCATTTCAGGCTCTTCAAGCTCTTCCATGATTTTTTCAAAGGCACTGTTATATTCTTCAAGTTTCTTGTGTAACATTGTAGGGTTTTCTGATAATAAAAGGTGAAAAAATAAAGAAATAGGAAGATATGTTAAAGTGACATATTTTATATAAATATAGTTATATCTAGCACATAGCAGTTATAATTAAATAGTAATTACTTAAGATGCAAGATAAAAATCAGAACATAAGTTGAAGCAGCAAGAATAGATGTAAAAAAGATTGAGTTCACTAGAAAAACATACGGGAATTACCATGTACAAAGTTAAATTATAACAATAGAAAATCTGGGGTATTTTTTCATCTCAGCTTTTTTTGTGTGTTCAAGATGAAAACACTGTTTTCCGGTTTTCTATTGGCTTGGATACAACAGGCGAAAATATTATTTATTATTATTATTATAAAGACATAACATTTCATTATAAAGACATAGCAAATTTAGTAAACGTTGTACTTGTTTCCTTTTTCTCTTAACACTTCAAAGTAAAAATAAATAAACATTATGTCCACAATTCCTGAACTCTACAACGAAAAGTGCCATTGTGCTGGATGTAGTCAGAACGATCTCGGCTATAGTTTTGTTGCCAGAAGAACTGCTCAACGTCATAACAAAAGGGCAAGACTAAATGCCATAAGATGTGAAAGGGGTACAATATTTGAATTTATTTAATTGTATTGTAATCCATGAAATAACGTGTTGTAATAGACATGTCTACCCAAAGAAATATGATGGAGGTCGATGATGAACGTAAGGTTTATTTAATTCAGATACTGTTAGGTATTAACCAAGTGTTATATTCTAAATGTAGCTATCTTAACCCATCAACCCGGAACCCTGAAAGAATCGTACACTCAGACAAACTCACCTGTTTGGGAAGGAGCTTCAATGTCTGACACTGAAGACGTTTCCGTTACTAATGACGCGATCAGCAATGGCGACAATGATGACAGTGGAAGCAACAGCAATGAAATCAGTGAAGACGAAAGCGAAGACGATGTTATTGAGCTCGACGACAATGAATTGAATAGTGAAGGTCAGTTAGTGTTAAAAAATTTTTAAAAAAAAAGCGTTAATTTTTTTTTATAATAGACCCTTTTGCCACCCCCGATATGCCCCAGAACCCAGTGCACAGGTTCATTGCTACTTTTGTGGTGATGTTCGCTTCCCACTATGTGGTTGACAAGGGCGCCGTTGTCTTGATCGAGTTCATCAACAAGCTTTTGACAATTTACCAGCAGGATTTCCAACTGCCCTTGAGCCTTCCTGGTCTTCAGCGCATGACAGGTTTCTCAGCCATGACCAAAGGCATAAAGAAATTTGTTGTGTGTCAGGATTGTCACAAGGTGTACGAAGAAAGTGCATCTGTCCCGTCTCATTGCGATTTTGTAAAGCTTGGTGCACGCTCGTCTTGCAACTGCCAATTGATGAAAACATCAGCATCGGGTGCTTTGGTGGCCAAGCGTTCATACTTGTACCAGTCCATTGTTAATACTTTACGAATGTTTTTTCTTCGTCCAGGATTCGAGGATAAAATTAGACATTGGAATCACGAGCTGAAGATGGTGGATACGATGTGTGACATATACGACGGTGCCATGTGGAAGGAGCTCAAAGACAAAGATGGTGTGCAATTCACAAAGGATTCGCGTTCATTAATGTTGACTCTCAACATCGACTGGTTTCAACCTTTCAATAACATCACGCACTCAACTGGTGCCATATACCTGGTAGTAAACAATCTGCCTCGCAATGAAAGATACAAGCCAGAGAACACACTTCTCGTAGGATTGATGCCTGGCCCAAAGGAACCCAAATCCAAAGAGATAAACCATTATCTCCGGCCTATGGTAGATGATCTGATAAGATTGTATGAGGGACTGGCAATCCCAACTTTCGAGTGTCCTAGTGGTGTCCGCGTCCATGCCGCATTGATGATGGTGGCCTGTGACATCCCGGCAGCAAGAAAGACAAGTGGTTTCACCTCGCACAACAGTACATGCGCATGTTACAAGTGCAACAGACATTTCCCTCGCTTGGAAAACGGTGTCAATGTTGACTTTCGCGGGTTTGACTTCTCTTGGTGGGTGCTTCGTGACGGTGTAGAGAACAGGTTGCATGCTGAGGAGTGGGAAAGTGCTAGTACCCCCTCAGAAAGGCATCAGCTGGAGGTCGAAAATGGTGTTCGATGGTCGCAGTTGCATCGCCTTGGATACCTTGATCTAGTACGTGGAACGATCATCGATCCCATGCATAATTTATTCCTGGGAACGCCTAAAAGATTGATGGATCGTTGGATCAAAGACGAAGACATTCAAGATGGCGATTTTGCGGCAATGCAGAAGACTGCAGAAACGATGATTGTGCCTGGTGGATACACCTCTTTGAACTCGAAAATAGGAAAGCAGTTTTCGTATATGAAGGCAGACGAGTGGAAGTCATGGGTGCTCATATACTCGCCAGTTCTGTTGAAAGATGTTCTTGCAAAAGACAGATTCGAAAACTGGATTAACTTTGTTGATGCATGCCGCCTGTTGATCAAGCCAACGATCACGTTCGATGAAGTTAACACTGCCCATCAGTTTCTTCAAACTTTTTGCACCAGATGTGACGAGCTGTACAATGCCGAAATCCTCACCTGTAATATGCACCTACACCTCCATCTTCGAGATACAATTCGTGATTTTGGACCAGTGTACGGTTATTGGCTATTCGGGTTCGAGCGGTTTAACGGGTTGTTAAAAAATTTGAAGACAAACAGGAAGATCGGGTTTGAAGAAACATTTATGAAGAAATTTATTGAAGATGTGCACAAAGACGATCTTGTCAACAGTTTCCTTCAGAGTACCTGCCAGACATCTGCATTTCCTCTCCTTACCAAACTCACTTCTTCCTTTACACCCGCCACCATTCCATCTATCCGTCAACGTACCTTCCGCATACAGTCATTTGTCGAGGCTTCTGAAGATCCAAATGTACTTGTAAAAGGCAACGAACCTCTCCCTCCTTCCGCATTCCCTCTATCATTAAAATCCGCTACCACAATGAGTGACATTCACTATGTTCATCTCTTACAATACTACAAAGTTGCGTACAACAATGAACAATTAGTTCACTTTCAACAAGCGTCAGAATCATCATACTTTGTCGACAATACAATCACCCTGTTGAAATACATCAACATCCTTGGGCAGGTCTACAAGGGTAAAGGTGAATCTGGAAGTCGTGGCTCTCTTGTACAAGCAAAGTTCATTGGAAGTACTGGTGAGCATATCATCGCATACACGGGTCAAATACAGTACATTTTCACCCATTCTTTCACTCCTCCACCTACCTCTTCATCCCTTACTCCCTTGCTCCGCACCCATCGCCGCCCAACACAACTTCTTCACAATTCTCAACATACTTTTGCATTTATCAAATGGTACACACCCGAAAATGATAAATCGCGAGAGTACGAACACGTTGAAACCTGCTTTCCAACATTTTCTCCTGACGATTTCCAATGTGTATTGCCAGTGCATAGAATTATGTTAGAAGTAGCAACTGCTGAGCACACAACACGCAGAAAAGTAAAAAAGATGCTGGTCATTCCTTTGCCAAAAAAACAATACATTTAAAAAATAATAAAATTATAACTCCCTTTTTTAAAGGCACACAGAAAAGAATAATCATAGTGTTTGTATTTGTTGGTACATTTATCATTGTCAGATGGAGGATGCGGAGGATGTAGAGGATAAGAAAACAAAATTTATTGAAACTCATCTCTAAAAGCCCAGTGAGGGAGAAGGGACGTCAATCTAGGCGGGACTGCTAAAACAGCATCTCTACCGAAGGACCTCTTCAACATCTGATGCGAATTGAAGTCCATGCGATTACGCATAAAATCATCAACAACTGCAAGAAAGTGATTGTACTAAATACAAATAAGTGATTAATCAAAGTTCTGTTTCATTTAAATCCATAAAAAAACAAAAAAAAAAGCTATATACAATAATGTAAACAAAAGAAATTACCTCATCGCTTCTCCAACTTGGACGCACTGTACGAATCGCACGGTTGCTCGAGACTCCAGGCATATCGTCTTCAGATTCGCCCTCAGACATTGCTTCTTTCTGTAAGAGTCCGTCACAGCTCTTACCCACCTTCATATCAATTTCAGCCTTGAATGTATGGTAGGTCAGCTCGCGACGGTCAAAATGCTAGTTTATAAATGTATTAATATGAATACATTTAATTTGCAATCAAAATATACTTCTAACATACATCGGTCTCTCGACCTGCTTTTCTTGACCAAGAATTTGTCTTTTTGCGCGCTTCATAGGATTCCTTGACTCGGCGTCTCGTTCCACAAAAGTTTGTGTAGATACAATCGCTAATATCGGCCTGTCGAACACTAGTCCCAACAACCTTTGGAGCCAGGTATGCATGAAGGTCATGCATCAGCTGTCTGTTGGGTGGAAGTCTGTAATCAACATTAAAATCCCAACTGCACTTGCTGTCGTTAGCTGCAACTAGTTCTGGCTTATTTGATTTGAAGTTGTGTTTCTTCAACTCTCCTCGGATAAGAGCCTATACTTAGTGTGAGATATTATGTTGATGAGCTACTGTACATCTCAACACTTACTAAAACTCTAGTGCGATTCTGTTTACTAAGTTCACCAGCGTTTGCACCAGTAAGAACCACTGGACCAACAGAAGGAGCGACAGAAGGAGCAACAGAAGGAGCAACAGAAGGAGCAGCAGAAGAGATACCAAAAAAAGCCTCAGAAGGTGTTGTATACCAATCCAGAGTAGAACCAACGGAAGAAGCTGCGAAAGGGACAGAAGCAGAAGCAGGTATAGTGGTAGGAGCAATAACTGCAAGAAGTTCTCCAGAGGCATTGGCAACGCTATCAAGTATTTCCAATGAATCTTTGTTCCCCTTGATGACAATGCCAATGTTTGAATCCATGGTCTTGAGACTTTCCTCCATAGCGGTGAGCCTTCTTAAAAGCTCAGTATATTCCGGGGATGGAGCCGGGGCAATTGACTGATGATTGTTAACCATGGTCTGAAAGCTATCTAATAAAATGTTATACATGAGTTGATTGTTAATTATATTTGTTTTATATATCTATTCATTGTATATATAGAGTGTTATTAACATACAAAAGAAGTTAGGTGTTAAGCGAAAGAATAAAGTGTAGTTAATGGAAAGATGGTAAAAGTAAAAGCAAGAACCCATTTATTATATTACACTTGTTGCTGTAAATACTCAGGATTTCTTTAATACGCATATCTCTATTAATACTTCCTGGAATTAACGGGGTGCAAATCGGCTTTGAACATGCTTTTTTCAACTCAATCCAATATATGATTTCTGTCTTTTGGCCTTTTGGCCCTTTGGTCTTTTGTTCTTTTTGTTTTTTTTTTCATTTACAAGTTTTCTCTCTTTTCTCTCTTTCCAACATTTATTATATTCACAGATTTTCTTGGTAAGATATCTTATTCTTTAATATTATATATATATATATAACTAAAATGATAATAATTGTTTTCTATTACTACAGACACTCGCGTTTTGTTACCTTCTGATGCATCCCCTTCACAATGTCCATCCGGATTAGCTAAGGTTAGTAAATATACTTTATGCCGTCATCCTATAAAATTATCCTGACTTTTTCCTTTCTTTTGTATAGGCCATATCGCCGAAATTACTCTCTACTATTAAACACGGTTATGAACACGGTAATATTTTATTTTATTTCAATCTATCTCTTTTTAATAAGCACATGGCTTAACATAATTTCTATTATAGATGAACCTCCCTCTCATAAGCACATCGCGAATCAAGAACTTTCATTTCATACGAGTGTCATTGACATGGTATTTTTTTTTTGTACATGTAACAATATTATTTATTTTGTATATTAATGTATATCATTTACTGAAGACAATATTAGCATCTTCTATGTACTCTCTTGGTCTGCAAATAAATCCTTTTGCTTCGGGTAGGTAAATGAAATATTCTACCACACAGTTCACAAAAAATAATTTTTTTTCAGCATTTTTATAGCCAAATAAAGTGTATTGAGTACTATGGTTCGCATTCATGACGCCTTTTCTTTTTGTCTCTGGTAAGCTATTATATTGCAAGCATAATTACATATATATATTCTTAATATCCACGATTTCTTGTTCAAACAGCTAACACTTTTCTAATTTCATAGAACAACCATTTACAAGCAAGCAACACACAACTGGGCTTTTCTCTGGGAGATATTGTTTGGAGAATACTTGTTTTATCAGAACATTGGCCATTTCAAATTGTATGAAGGATAGAACACTAGCCAGAATGTTCCTGAATATTAAATATAACCACTGTACTATAAACCTAAGAATATTCTTTTCTTTCTAATAAAAACAAAATAAACCAATAATTATTATAAATAAATTAAAGATCGGAGAAGTGTATGGAAGCAAACAGTATAAGAAGAAGTCTCTAAGATTGGATAAAATAAATTCAAATACAACAAAACCCTGTAAAAACTGGCATATCCATAAATTAAACAATGTAAAAACTGGCATATCCGTATAATCGATCTTTCATTTATCGTTCTTTTAATCAGAAAGCGGTAGGATATATTACAACAAAACATAATTCTGAGTTGCCGTTTTAGTGCATGTGGTAAAAACCCATATACAGAAAATGCAAACACATCCTACTATCCTGCTGTTCTGACCTTTTCCTATGTTCGAAAGTTGGTCTTACCACCTATGAGTAAGTCAGCTTCATACACTTGTAAAAACTATCTGATCACATTGTAAAACCTGGTCTTTTCACATAATTAATTACAGTTTTACACATAAAAAAACCGCACCTCTTTTCCAGTGGTTGTTGTTAAATAGTATTAGTCATTATATTTTCAGCTTTTTATATCAAAAAATAATATTCCAAGGTCCACTAAATAAAGTAGTACAAATTGAACTCAAGGAGATAAAAAATAAATAGGACAATATATTACCTGCAGCCATAAATTTATTATAAACATTCTTTTTTAAAACAGATATCTTAATTCTCTCTCTTTCCATTTGGTGTTTATATACCAAAACTCTTTATTTCTCTTCTTAAATCAGCAATAAATCTCATTCTCATGCTCACTTCAACAATTAAATATTACTCTGACAATGAAAACACTGCTTAAAGCTCTACACCTCATGGATTTTTTTATTATTTCCAGATCACATTATGTTTCTGTATGTAAATAAAGCCTATACCTCGGAGTCATTGATATTAATCTCTAAATAATCTATAGTATTTTGAACAAAAGCTATAAATCTGAAAAGAAAACGTGACGATTCAACTCTCCACCTACAAAGAAACTACAAGATCAAACATCTATCTGTACAATAGGAACCAGTCTACACATATTCATAATGCTTTTAAGTGCATTTCACCGACCATACTTTTTCGAAATCCAACAGTAGAATTCACTCTACTGACCACACAAAAACTTGCCAATTTTTATCTCAAATATCCAGTAATCTGATTGACTACCACAGCAATTGTATTTCTTATGAACCTGGTCCTACACAAGCATCTAATACCATTACAAAAAATAATCCAAAAATGCTATATTTATTCAGCACCTGCTCCAACCATTTTACAATGTCAGAATCCTGATCTTCTTAATATCAAACTCAACAACTCTTTGTAATCTGCACTCGAAACAAGTAAATGTCCAACAATCTGTTAAACAACTGAAAGCGGTCCAAGAATTATACTTTGCCCACAATACTACCCGATCTCAATTTTGGAAACCCTCATGATACAAAATACCAAAAAAAAATCAAATATTACACACACAAAAACAGTAACAAAAAATAGCACAAGCTCATGACAAAAAAAAGAAATAAAAAAAGAGATGAAAAAAAAAAGAGATGAAAAAATAAAAAAAATAAAAAAAAAGAAATAAAAAAAAAAATAAAAAAAAAAAAATAAAAAAAAAATAAAAAAAAGAAATAAAAAAAAGAAAAAAAAAGAAATAAAAAAAAGAAATAAAAAAAAAGAAATAAAAAAAAAAAAAAAAAAAGAGAAATAAAAAAAAGAAAAATGTAATAGCAATTTTAAAAATAATTCTCCAAATAGTATAACTAGCATTTTTATTCATAAATTTTTATAATATACATAACCATTTTTTTGCAAATAATTTCTGAAAAACTGAAAGTCTCAATAACTGAAAAAATGAAAGTCTCAATAACTGAAAAACTGAAAATCTTAATAACTGAAAATAAAATGGTATCTAACCGCAGAAATTTCTGAAAAACTGAAAATCTCAATAACTGAATTTCGAGCTTTTCCTTGGCTCTATACAAAAAAAAACTTTCTTTTTTTTTATTTTTTTTTTATCTTTTTTTTTGGTTGGGCAAACCCATGAGGAGAAATCCCACCCCTTCCTTCGAGACAGAGGACAGGACACCATCAAGGCTCTGGTAGCACTGTAAATCGGCTAATAAAATAAATGTTCTTAAAAGTGTGAAGAAGCTTAATATGTAAACATTCATTATTCTTCAACACGTTCTTTATCCAAATATATTAAGACAACAGGACAAGACTATACCTTGGTAGAAACGTTTAAGTTATTAAAATATTTTTTTTTGGTATATATACCCCAGTGTCTTAATAAAAGTTTCTCAGTTATCTTTCTTCCTCGATTTTAACACCCTTTTTATTTTCAAAAAAAAATGCCTACTTCCAACAACTCCCTCGAATTTGTTATGGACAAGCACTGTGAAATGGTCAGTCACAGCAGTTCTGCAGACCAAACCCAGTTTTCTGGAATTTCTTTCGACCCCTTGTGCGATTTCAACCAAGAGATTGTTGGCAAAATGCATGGAGAAGTTGTACTCTGATCTGTGATAGATGTCTTTGTCAACCATGCCAATATGGAATGGACCCGTACCTCGGCCGGAAACCCAGCAGTCACAAACCTCCTCAGTCTCAAAAGTTTCCTGCCAACCGAAGTCAACGAGGCCACAACCAAGACAATTGTTGCACAGAAGCCGAAGACGAATCTGCCGGAGAAGGTCGATCCTGATTCTGTTCCCACTGCAGAAAGCATAGGTCAAGGTTCGTACCAAAAGTACAACCAAAACCAGGTGAACAAGCTCTTCTCGTTGGTTTTCTCGGAAAACCAGACTGCTGCTGCCGCTGCCAGGGAAACGGGGATCAATGTCCGGACTGCCCAGAACTATGTCAGGCTGGCCAGAGAGAAGATCCAGGCCGATTTTGATGCTGCCACAGTGAAGACTGATAAGTCCAATGGGCTGGAGACGATGGAGGTTGAGGAGGTTTCTGCGCCTAAAGAACAAAAACATGGCAACCAAAAGTTGTTCCAGGCGCACTCTGCTTTTTTTTGAAGTTTTTCGAAAATAAACCAGATGCTACCTTGGAACAAGCAAGGATAGCTGTCATGGAAGAGTTCTCTGGGCTGCAGATTACCAAATCAGCAATCCAGAAGCACTTGGTGAAGAAGTTGGAGAAGCTGCCTGAGAAGAGAGACAACGTCAACACAATTGAGATGAGACGAGACCGCATTTTGGAGTGGCAACAACTTGCGGATTTCAACTATCTGTTGAACTGTGTGTTCATCGATGAAGCAGGCTTCAACATGCACATCAAGAGAACTTTTGGCCGTTCCGTCAGTGGCACCCCGGCTAAGACAACTGTCCCGATGCAGAGAGGTGTGTCCATCACCATCCTTGGTGCAATGCGCAAGAGAGGGATTGTCAGCCTCTCGTTGAAGAAACCCACTGCTGTTGCAACCAAGAAGAAGAGAAAGTTGGACATCTACACCAACGTTGAGGTGAACGGCCAAATTGGCACCAGAACCCAGCACTACCTCAACTTTCTTAGTCATACAATGGACGTTCTGGACAGCCAGGGTATGCAAGGACGTTATCTCATCATGGATAACGCTCCTATCCATAAGGCCGATGAGGTGAAAGACTTTATTTCTTCCCGTGGATACAAGTGTGCATATCTTCCTGTGTATTCACCTTTCCTGAATCCAATTGAGGAAATGTGGTCCAAGATCAAGTTTGGTGTCCGCAGAGAAGAGATTACAGAGTCAGACGGGCTCATCTTAAGGATTACAGAATCAGCTAAGACTGTCACTCTTTCGGACTGTTTGGGTTGGATTAACCATGTCATTTCATTCTTTCCTTGCTGTTTGAACAGAGAGCGAAAGCTTTAAGTATGTCTTTTATGTCTATTTAAGCTCTTTACACTCTATGTCTTTTTTTATTTTATTTTTATTTGTTTTACTGCTTTATGCTTTTCTTTTTTTATTACTGTATATTTCATTATATCTTACTTCTTATTATGTGTTCTATTTCTCTATCAACTAATTATGCCTAATAAAAATATCCATGTTTTATGCCAAAAAAATACGACGTTTACAAAAAAAAATACTACAGTTATATAAAAAAATACAACGTTTACAAAAAAAAATACTATGGTTATATAAAAAAAATACAACATTTACAAAAAAAAATACTACGGTTATATAAAAAAATTGTAAGCCATAAGGATAAAAAATTTGAGTGCCATGTACCCTTCTGCCAATAGTAAAAGGGGGGGAGCAAATTCAGATTGCAATGGGAGCAAATTCAGTTGGCAATGGATGCAAATTCAATTTCTATGGAAGCTAATCAGATGTTAATGGGTTCTAATTAGATGGAAACGGATGCTAATTAGATGGAAATGGGCGCCAATTGAATGGATAAAACCAGTATCATCAGCTTATATATATATCAGATTGGCTGTCATCAGCTTGTATATGTATGAGATAGACTGTAAATATCTTATATACATATAAGATTAGCTGTTAATAACATATATATATCAGATTGGGATTTCTGAAGGTTTATGGGTTTTAAAGCTCCGAATTCAAACTCCGCCCTTTGCTTACAGTGTTTTAAAGCAATCTGTAGATCACGAGTTCAATTCTCACAAAAGACATATAAATATTTAGTGAAACATAACATATTTAAATCATTATTATTAATTATTTTAAAGTTTGTTTTCTCTATCAATTTTGCGACGTCTTGTGACGTGCATATACTTAAAACAATGCCGTGAATGTAAGCTATATAGATACAGTTGGAGCATCACATAACATCACAAATTGATAGAGGAAATATAATTATAAAATTTATAGTATCTATTTTAAGTATTATAATCCTATAAATAATATAGTTTTTGTGGCTTAGTCACGTGCTACGTCACAGAAAAGTTTTTTTGACGGCTTTTATTTTGTTTAAATATTATGTTTATTTGTTTTTTTTGCTTTCTTTTCTTTTATTTCTACTTTATTTATTTTCAAATAGATAATCAATCTTCTTTATCAGTTCATTCATTATCTATTCCTCCTTTGAGCTATGTTATGACATCAATATATACATCTGAAGTTGCAAAACGGTAAGTAAAAAAGTTATTTTTTATTATTATATATTAATATTTAATATATATAAAGATATTTGATTGCACAGGGTGCTTTATATCCAAGAAATCATATTATTTTTACTTGTTCTGGTGGCAGTTCTATGAACTATGTATTTGAAAAAGACAGAGGCTACAGTTACAGATACAGTGGAGTAAACAGCATGGGAGCAACATATTGTAAAAGAGAAAAAAAATCTGAAAGATTAGATTCTTTCTTTGCACAAAGACATCTTTTTTATGATGTTGTTATGCAAGGAATACAGTCTCATCAATTAAATGAAAGAAAATTTTAGCTTCTACCAAAGTGAAAAAATAATATCCTTAACTTTCTGTTCATTGTTTGTCTACTTTTACTTAAGAAACCACTTTCAAAATCATTAGAATAAGAATATATAATCTTTAAATATTAAGAAAAATAATTTTTATTGAAAGTTTAATATTTAGTAACATCACTGCAAACTTTCTTCATATGGGCTATGCGAGTTGGCATAGACATGCAGTAGGCCTTGCATACTGCAACCTGTATTTTCTTCCATTCTTCAAGGATAGCCTTGTCTAGTTCCTTAATAGTTCTTGGAGCTAGTACTCTTGCCCTTACCATCCGACCCAAATGAGCCCATAGGTTTTCAATAGGACCAAGATGTGAGCTATTCAGTAGCCATTCCATTATTGGTACATTATGGGTCTTTTTTCAGTTCT